GAAAGATATTCACCCTTCAAGGTTTCGAATTCAGCTTTCATGCGCTGGTGCGCGAAATTTTTAACTATTTTTAAGTTTTTGAACTATTTTTGCATAGGCAGAAATAAAAAGCAGTGAAAATCATTAATAGATAATCGTTCGATGGGCTGGATTGCACAAAACGCATGATCGCACCAGCTAGTCTGGTGCGCGTTGCCATTTATTTATTTATTTATTTTTTTGAAAATGTGTTCGGAATGAGTTGTTCTTACTCTATTAAAAGCTATTACTGGTGAAAGCAAAAGAGCAAGGAGAGACTGTGATTTAGAGAAGGATACCCCGATTCCCCATATAAGCAGTACGACTCTGTGTCAGATGAGCGACATGCAGGATATCATTACGACCATGCAAAAGACATGGATAAGGCATCAGAGTAAACTTATAACCTTTGTTAAGAAATTAAGACCTCTTTTACAATTTTAAATTCATAACAACGTTAATTCCAAAACAGAAGCGGCTAACTTTCTAATTTATGCTGTGACTGCATTCATTCCTCGCCGATCTTGTTATGCTCATAGCAGAGAATTGACTGATCGATTGACTTTTCGTGAGTCTGGTTTTAGCCAAAAATGAATGAATTCTGAACAGTTTGCAAAAACTGGATTTCTTCAAGTCAAAACTCACATTTTTTGTGATTCTTAACAAAGTTCGGCCCAAAATCTGAAGCAGCGAATTCGAAATCCAGCATTGCTTGTGATCTTTTTTGAACGGATGATTGTTTTCGGTTTCGTACTTCTTCGGAATTGTTCACTCTTCCCACATTGCAGTGGTTTTTTGCCCTCGTTACAATATATCGTCCTTTATCGTGGAGCTTATTATGGCCTATTTGATTCGGCTAAGGCACGATTCAAATCCGATGCGAGCAACGATATAAGTTTCACATGCGCCTTTTTAATTGGCCAGGTATTAAGCAGTTCCTGTGTTACTTTTGCATCAGACGAGCTGTTAATAGCTGTAGTACTGGATAACAAAACTTCCGGTGGCTGATATTTTGCCGAATTCAAAAACCTGAAATACCCCGATGCTAACTTTTCCAGTTTTTTTAACAGCTGCTGTATTGCTTGCGAGGTCAACTTACTGGCTTTTTCCACATTTTTTTTTGTCTTCTGAAAGAATTATCAACTTACCGTTTCTCCAAAAAATAAGTACTTGGGAGAAGGCTTTAGCCATTTTCGACTTGTCTTTAGTGCCTGTTGAGCATCACCACCTCGTCCTGGGGCTGCCGCTCCTAAACCTTGATGTGATACTTCATCGACTAGGAGGAGATACTTTTTGAGATTGTCAAATTGGTCCCTTTTATTAAGAACTTGATTAACTTCTTTAGCTTTTTTTGCAAAAAAACAGATTGGATGGTAAACTTCTAAAAATGGTACTTGCATAATTTTGGATCAACGACACATTTCTCCTTCTACGGATTCTGAAAAGACAGAATATGCAATAGAAGAATAGAAGGATTTCACTTGAATGTCATGTGTGTGAAGACATTTTATGACGCAGTCTGTGTTTCATCCCTTAGCTGTGTACTCAGACCGAACAGTGCATGCGGGTAGGAGTGGGAATCATCAGTGTAGCCTTTTCCTACCTGCCATGCAACATGCATTTGCAGCACACGAAATAACCAATATTTTTAGCAATTTTAAAAGTGTTGTTCAAACTTTTATTTCGTTATAGGTTGTAACATTTACAGCAGCTCTAATTTCATACCCGTTGGATACGGTTCGAAGACGTCTAATGATGCAAGCTGGTCGCCACGATACACTGTACAGGGGAGTATGGCACTGTACTACGGTATTTATTCATTCATATTCCCATAATTTTTGTTTGGTCCAGAAAGAAAAGTATGCATATGTTTCTGAAGTTGGCTAGGGCATATCGTGTTAGATTTACGTTAAAATCTTTGTCTAACTTTTAATTCAAAAGCAAAATTTGCGCTGACATCTCCTGTTTAGAAGCAAAAAAAGTATGCAGTTTAATACTTCGATCAACTTCATTTCATGGCCTGATTCTCCAGCTGTGCATTTGGCAACTTCTTCAGTTGTTTTGACCAATGCTGTACCGTTTAATACCTGGCCTGCTGGCGATCTTTGCGTTTTTCCCGCTACCGAAAGGATTAGCCACAGCTTAAAGATCCCTTCGTTACAAGCAGTTGGCGGAACTAGCCATTTCGAGGTGACTTTTGCATGTCATGAACTTTACCGTCTGTCCTCGAATATAGCGATTTTAGGTTATGAAGTTGGAAAATTGCAGTTGGGAGGAGATAAATTCTGAAACTTGTTTGTTTCAATATTCTGATTGTTTCTGGAATTTTTTGTGCATTTCTTTCAAAGCTATATAGTTTCAAATGAACAATTAGTAGTGCTGTTCAAAAACTTGTTGCAGAAAATCTGGCACGAAGAAGGCTTCCGTGCATACTTCAGTGGAATGTGGGTGAATACAATACGTGGCACGGGCGCCGCTCTAATCCTTGCATTTTATAATGAATTTTCGAAGTATGTATAGCACTGACAGTACTTCGACTCTGGGTTGATAATTTGTGATCTTGATTAACGATGAAAATATGCTGTTGTATTAGTCTTTGTGTGTAATAAAGTTGCACTAACTTGGTAGGATCGTCGCGTCAAGATCGGCCTCGCAGTCTTTTTCATTTCAAGACCTGCAAAAGCTACAGAGCTGAGACTTTGGGAACTTAATCTGCGTGCATGTACGAGCCCCATCCCCAAATGGGCGGCCTTACCCGTCTTCTACCCACGTACGGGCCCGCCAAACTTTTTTTCGAGTAGGTTGCTAATTCGAAAACCTGAAAAACCAGAAGTCTGGAATTTTAAGGGGAAATTCCCCGTTCACGTAGGCATTAATGAGCTCAAACCCAGCAGCCAGGTGTGCATGGTTGAAATTTCAGGGGGGATGTCCCCTGTCAACGTGCAATTTAAAGGTTTCAAATTGAGCTTGCCAGATACTTGGGGTATCCACGTACAGGCATGTGAAAGTTTTGGCGGGGGAATTACTAACTCGGGAACCGGGAAAGTTAGAATGCTGGAGTTTTAGGGGGATGTTCCTTGTCCAAATACAACTTAAATATTCCAAATTCAGCCTTAGGTTATGCGCGGTTTCTACGTATAGGCACTCAAAAGTCAAATCCAAAAGTTTTGGCGAGAAAATTGCCCACTGAACAGTTGGGTTCCTTTCAAATAACGACTGTTAAATGGAAATAGTACATTTACTTTATGCAAAATCAGAGGTGATTTATGCTAGTAACCGCAAAAGCCAGCTGTAAAGCAACAACCATCAATGCAGTTAATGACCTGAGTACTTCAATTCTGATGCAAAAACGCATGATCGCACCGGCAATCCTGGTGAGTTCCTACGTGGGTTACATGTACGCAAATGCAAAAGCGCATATTGTGACCAACTCGATGTGTTTTGTGTGTCTGTCTGTCTGTCTGTGTATTTAATCCGGCAACCAATCATGCCCCGGCGCCAAAATTTTGTCTTTGGGTTCTCCGGCCAAGTGCCATTCCGAGTACCAGCCCTCTCACGTACGTTTAGGCTCTGCATGCGAGCGCGTGAAAGTTTTGGTGGGGAGGTCACTAACTCAGGAATCAGAAAAGCTAGAAAGCTAAAATTTTGTGGTTATGTTCCCTGCCCACATAGAACTCAATAATTTCAAATTCAGCGCTCAGGTGTACGTGGTTCTCACGTGCGACCTCGTGAAAGTTCATAGAAAATTGCTAACTCGGGAACCAGCGAAGTTGGGAGGCTGAAATATTAAAGAAAGGCAAAAAAGTAAGGGGCGAATGAATGTGGAAAGAGTTTTATTTTTGTTTATGAAACACAGAAAAAGAAAACATTTATTCATAATTTCGTAAAATGCCATAATAAAAAAAAAAAAAAAAAAAAAACACAGGTTCAAATGCACATGCAAAACGCTCGTTCGGAAAAAAAAACCTGAGAAAAATGGGAGGTAACTGGGCCGAGTGAGTCTGCACTGGTTGTAGCCGATTTGTGGCCTATGTCTGGGGGCAAAAACTAATATTATCATATGAACCAAATAGCATCCCAAAACGCGTAAATATTTCAAAATTTGTTGTATGGGCATCAAATTAAAAAAAAGAAACAAAGGGACCAAGGTTAGGTAAACTGCCACGTAAACTGGCATATGTTAGGAGACAAAGCACTGAACTGTTGTTTCAAAAGGAGAATATCAGGTTGGTGTCCGGGGTGAATATGGGGACCAGGACTGGATTCCGAAAGAAGCAGGGCTGGGGGCAAAGAGGGAGAAAAAGCGATGGGGGGATTTTTTAAAACAAAAATTTGACACCGCCAAATTTCACTCGTCCTTCTCCTCAGTTGTATCACCTGCTCCATGGGAGTACATGATCCGTTCGCCTTCTTCCAGATCCGGTTCCTCGTCCTCCACCTCACTGCTGTGCAACGAGTCGTTGCTGCTAAGCACGGAAGTACCGACTGACGAGAAACTTAACTCGAGTAACTCAGCGGTGTCCAGCGACCCATCACTGCTGTCCCCTTCGGCATTTTCCCCTCTGTGATATCCGTCCGGATCCACGTGGTTCTCCTGGAAAAAAAAGAACTTAATGAAATGCGAATCTGCGGTCTGTACTTCCTAGACAAGCTTCACTTTTCTAAACGGCGCTGTTCCATATTCTCGATGGCACAGGCGGGCAACCGGCGGACCCCGCGATTGGTTTTAATCCGGCTAGCGGAGGCAATCGGAATGTGATACCTAACTAGACAAATGAAGTTTTGTACTCCACCACGCCATTGCATTCTGATGAAAAAAAAATAAGCAGCAGTGCGCACCAGGGCAGCTCTTTTGCTCCGCATGCAGGAAAAGACCAAAACACAGGCACATGAGTTGCACGTATTAAACTGTAAAGCAACAACCATTCATTCTATTAATGAACTGATTTTGTCAAGTTTAACACAAAAACGCATGATCCCGGGCAAGCGTAGTGTGTTGCTACCTGGATTTTATTAAAAAAAGCTCTTCGAGCTCAAGTAAGTATGTAAATCTGGCCCGCGTGTCGCCGCAGGTTGCCCATGCCTGTTGTACAGTATACCAACGTTTGCTATTCCTAACAGATGAAATAAAAATTCGATTTCGAAAACTTGATTGAAATAAAATCTTGATTTCGTTTCAGATTTCGCGTTTTTTTACGAAATAGCTTGCGATTTATAGCATTTTCAAGCAAATGTGCCGTAGGTGTGCCGCGTGCTGTCCAGATGTGGATCCCTATCGTTGCCTTGTTTCTAACCGGGAAATTTATTTCAGGATATTTGAGATGACTATCAAACTTATTATGCGCTAAAACGTTCTGCGCCTTACCAGCAGTCGTAGCTTGGCGATGTATGCGTTTCGGCGTTTTTTTAGAGCCTCAATTTCATGATTGAGGCTTGTGATCTTGCACCTCAGCTCAACGATGTGTTGCTGGAGAATCTCTCTGTTGGATGCCATCAGCCGTACCTTGCCGCAGTGCTAAAATTGGTCCATTTTTTAGGGATTTTGCATTTTTTTTCTTAAAGAAAAAAACCTGAAAAGTTCGTAGATTCAGAAAAGGCTTAATGATTAGAAAAAACAGTGGAGTCCATTAAACTACTAGACGACGGTTCCCCATACGTCTCGCATTCGGCAGCACTGTCTGTTTCATTGAATGAGGGGAGGAGGTGAGTAAAAAGCGTATGTGAAAATTTGGAAAACTCGATCTTTTTGCGAGGTTCAAATTATTTATCTGTGGCCGTCAACTAGAGGTTTATGGTTCAGGACCGATAGGCCCAGCACTGCCTGGGGGAAAACTATCGTAACATCACTAGCATGAAACCCATACGCCTAGAGTTTGGTCGGTTTGCACATTATCTTCATTACTAATCATCATAATTTTAATTAAGCTAATTAACGAAATAAGAATCAAGCGATGATTAGTTTTGAAATTTCAGATTCGTTCAGGAAAACAGGCAAATTGTATACTACTTCAATCTCCTTTTCCCTCACTGCACCTTTCTCCTTCCCTCATTCCACTTCTCCTCCTTCATCCGGTTCACCTATATAAAATAATAAAAAAAAAAAACAAGAAATACTGATTATCTGAATGTCAAATTGTATAAATTATCAATGGGCCTATAAACAATTTAAGAACACAGCTCCAATCTTTCAAATATACGATACCTCCCCTCACTCGCTCAATTCTCCAAACAAACGATTCCTCTCCTCATTCCCTCATCTTCCGAACAGCGATACTCCTCCCTCGAACAAAACCCGTACAATTTGATCACAAAACAATCTTAACCTTGTGGAAGCGACGCTGACGAAAAGACTACGCTCCACAAGCCCTGTTTTGTACAAATCAGCTCTTTCCGAACAGTCACTGGCTTTTATAGTGCTGCGCATTCACGAGCGTTTTATCCAATTCATCATTTATGCAAAATTTGAGTGCCTATCCAAAGTAATCTGCATGCTTGAATATGCAAGTGCTGGCCAGCATGGAACAGCGGCAAGCAGTACTGCTACGCCGAAAAGCCTGTTTCCACCAGAATTTTACTGATACTTCTTTTAATACTGAAACAATCAAGTCCGTTTTCCCGAAATGCACTAGACAGACGGGGAAGATGCTTTCGCGCACTGTACTGATCGGTACATTGTTATAAAACAACTAAGAGATGCGTTAGTTCCTTTTAACTACACATATACCGAACAAAAGTTTCTTTTTTTAAAAATCACCTCTGAGAAAAAAATTTTTTTTTGAAACTCATTTTTCAGAATTTCTTTCGTTTTTTTTTGAAACTAGCTTCTCAGGAAAAAAAATCTTTTTTTTTTTTGAAAATCATCTTTCGAAAAATTTCCTTTTTTTGAAAATAGCTCCTCAGGAAAAAAAATGTTTTTTGAAAATCGTTTCTCAACTGTTACCCTCCTTTTTTTCTTCACTTTTTTTGCCATGGGCAGTCTTGTCCTCCAGGAATCTGTACTGATGATTTCCGCTCCCACCTGCACACACAGACATGTCTGCTTTTGCGGCTAATAGATGAAATACAGAGTGTTTCCATATACGTGTATTAAATATGTGTCATTGTAATTCCTGTTATTTTCATCTCAATAATTCTTAAAATTTATTTTGCTTGCAAAAATTGACTTCATGGACCGAAACGTATATGACTTCATGGACCGAAACGTCTTATCTCTCTCGTACTTATTTTTCCTGCACCAGCAATATTTCTACATCTTGCATTACATAGTTCGTTCTGTTCTTGCCTTCTTTTTTCAGTTCTTCGTATTACTTTCATGCTACAATCATGCGATAATCAGCTCAGCCAGCTGAACCTATTCCATGTGTTGCGGCCCCCTGATGGCCAACTAAAGTGTAAATCTCGAGCAGTCCAACTTATCTGCCTGCTTGTCGAAACTGGGTCAAATAAAGTTCCATCATTTCCTGTAACTGAAACTACAAATCCCAACACTGTCATTGATCTCCAGCTCGTAAAAGGGCCGCACAGTCAAAATAAATTCAGTGGCAAAATTCCATAAAATTACTTTCTCTGCCAGTTTTTTTGCGGTAAACTAATTCTCTGAATAGTTCCAGACTAGTAGATATCCTGGAAAGTATAAGCAAGGTTTCAGCTGTGTCTCCCAGTCCACTTTCAATTCCTCCCTACTTTGTGACCCTAGATGCCTAAATCAGTACCTCCAATCCTTACATCCCTCTCTCCGCTTATTATTATTGCTGTTATCATTATAATATTTATAGTTACTGCTGTTGCTTTTGCCATTATTATCATTCTATTATTATTACTATTATTATAATATTTACAATTATTATCGTCGTTATTATTATCATTCTATTATTATTACTGTTATAATCATTGCTATTATTATCATTATTGCCATCACTATCATTATCATTGATATTATTGTTGTTATTATCATTACCATTACTATTATTGTAGTCATTATTATTATTATTATTTTTGTT